TCAGGAGGCCAAAAAAAAAAAAAAAAGAGGGCCAACAGAAGAGTCTGGCCTGGGAGAGCTATCCTCTGGGGTGAAATGTATATCTAAAGTAGGAAAGTTCTTTGGTGTTTTAGTTATTCTACGTGTCTTACTGCTCTGGTCAGAGACATTCATTTTCCTGATGGTCAGACTATAATTTTATTTAAATAGTTGTGTCTGGTTGCCATATTGGAGACTTCTGAAAGCAGAGATGCTCAGTAATTGCCCTTTACTTTTCTTCATGTTTCCCATCCTTCTGGTTACTGGACCACTGGACAGACACAAAGCCAGGGAGGCTTAAGGGGAACCCCTAGAAAGCTTTAAAATTTGAGCAGATCCCTACAAGCTGATGAGAGGCTGAGAACTCTTTGTAACGGCCGAGCTTCCACTCTCAATTTGGCAAAAGGAAATCTCAAGCCCTGAGAGAAAGCTCCGTACTTATCCCTGTTATGTCTCCCTGGAGCTCTGATGCCATCCCAGTTTTGGACAAATGTTATGATGAGACCACTTGCAGCAATGGATTCACTCCTGAGTCTACTTATTTCCAAAAGAACCACACTGGAGTTGCTCATGGGCTGCTGAGCCCATAGGGAAAATTCCACTTTCAGCTTTGTGATGCTGGAAAAATTGTCTACAGAAACATTTACAAAACTTTTCTGGTCTTACCACTTTTCTTTCTTTCTTTTTTGCCCCCATTTGCTACATAGTCTTTCTTCAGCCCTCTACATTTAAGTTTCTATTTTCTTCAGTCTCTGCAATGGCACAAATAATAACATAATAGTGAATATTTATTGACTATGTGCTTACTACATGCAAGGTGCTCTACTAGCTCAATTTCCCACTATTTTTACCATGTAGGTACTTTTATTTTTATTGTTTACTATTTTATCCATCTCAAAAATGATAAAACTAACGTATGGAGAGTTTGAGTAACCTATCCAGGGAACCACAGCTGGTAAGCGTGGAACCAAGATTTAAACTAAAAGACTTTGACTCTCGGTGTTGCTACTCCCAGTAGAATTTGTGAATCAGCAGCACCAGTATGACCTGCTGGATATGCAGAACTTCAGGTTCTACTTGCATTTCTGCTGGATCTAAACCTATACACCAACAGGATCACAGTTTGCAGGTGAATTAAGGTTTAAGGAGCCCTGATGTGATGAAGCGTGTCTATTTAATTATCCTCCAGCAACAACATACTTCTTTCCTTAAATTTAACTCTGCTAGTCTCAATTTATCCCTCATCAGTTTACTTTGATGATTGATTATTTGTAGTGCTAGGGATTAGATCCAGGACCTTCATGCCGAGTTACATCACCAGACCTTTTAATTTGTTTTTCTAAATTTTGAGACAAGGTTTCGCTAAATCACTAAATTGCCCAGACAGGACTCAAACTCACAACCCTGTGCCTCAGAGCTCACAAAGCACTAGAATTACAGGTCTGAGCCACTGCACCAGGCTTAATTTTAAACTGTCATTCTTTTTATCACTGAGAACCATGGTGAAGCTCTTCTGAAACAACAGCTGGTCTGTGAAAAGCAAGAGCAGGCAAGACCCAAAAGAAGAGGGACAATCGGGGAGCCATTGTAGAAGGGTGGAAATTGAGCTAGTTCTCTTGAATTTAGAGATAAGAAGCAAAACAACTAAGTGTCTCCATACTAGTATCGCTCTCTGGGGCCTAAAAGTTGGAATCAGGAGGGAAGAGAAAAACTTTCACCCTGAGCTACCCAGAAGAAATGACAATTTATGAGAATATGAAAGGATTCTGAAAAACCCAAAGCCCACCTAAAATCAGTCATCCTGTACTTAAAAATAGATTTTAAATGCTTCATTCTTGTTTCTCAATGCTATAAGGCAGGCCACGCTAAAATAAAGATGCATCTCTACTTGCCACATTTGTCATCTCTTTTTTGTGCATATTTTTAAACTCATCCCACTTGAAAGAGTTTTGTTTGATCAATGGAATGCCCTTTATGAATTTTCAGATGAGAGAAGGCTGTTAATATGATTGTAAATACATTACTTTTCGCTTACAAGGATGGAAATCATCAAAAATCCTTAGGAAAGACAAAGTCTTAGACAATGTAGAACACTCATCTTTCTGAAGCGTTCTAGTGAGAAAAAAGGGATTTCAATGAAGTTTGAGGCTCAAAGGCTGACCCAGCCTTGTGCAGTCCACCGAATGATCACAGATAGGATCAGCACATAAAAATGCTTCTATAAAGCCTCATAAGCAGAAAATGGTCACCATCTAAAGGAAATGATCTTTTTTCCCATTATAAAACAGTAACACAATTAACTCAAGTTTTGCAAAGAAAAGATCTATTCTTTCTCTGAATTCTTTTCCTTCAGTCTTTTTCATTGTAGGACAGCGATTCCAACTGTTTCAAGCTGAGAACAGAAATACAGCAATAAGCTTCACTGAAGGCAGCAGGACACCCCTACATTTTACTCTAGGCTAAGCGCACCACTTACAGCCTAAATTCAAAGACAACTGTCTCTTGGACTTGCTGTGCAGCATGGAAGTAGGTGATGGAAAGATGTGTGAAAATATTTTTGCAAGGATACAGGGTACTGATGCAAAAGACATTTCCCTGTTGATTACGGAAGAAACAGGTAATTCTGACAGGCTACAATAGGCCTTGGAAAAAGTTGACAGAGTCATCATATCCCGTTTTGCTTTGTGTTTGGTTATTTAGCAGGGAAGCAAATGAAAAAAGCATCTGGTAGATTTCATGAGGTCCATTTACCTAGCCAGTGCCTGATCCTGAGCTCTATGAGGACAAGAAGCTACTTATCAAAAATATTCTGTATCAGGGCATCAGCCTGATCCGTTAGCCCTTCCCTGCCTCACAGCATTCACCCTTCCCCGAATATTCCTCAAAGCTCAGACCATACCTGGGTTTGCTTACTGTGGACAGGTGCAGATTCACGCATGCCCACGTCACTCAATATGCACCATGTTTGCAAGCAACACAAAATCCATATGTTACATAATACTTTAAGACTCATAATACTTTAACAACCATGAGAGAAAAATCAAACATAAGCATATTACCTATTATATTTTAGAATATGGGCCTAGGTGGATTTTGTAAATGAAAATGCACACTTGTACATGAGTGCTCATACACACACACACACACACACACACACACACACACACACACACTCATGTTAGGCTGCCTTTCTACCCTATGGAAATAGGAAGTACAGGGCAAAGAACAATGGCTACCTTTGGCATGGGGAACTGGCATGCTCCAGAGCAGTAATAAGCATCGAAAGACTTGGGGGAGATAATCCATTCGCTCCAGCCAATGTCTGCAAAATCTACTTTAAGGTATCTCCTGGCACAATTCCGAGGTTCAATCCACTGCTTTCTTCTTGCCTTCTTCAGGGTCTGCTCATCAAACTGGAGAGTCTGGCTCTTCTGGTGAGGTCCTTTCCTCTGTTTCTTTTTGTTCTTGGTCTTTTCGGTGGGCTGTGTCTGCAGGCTCTTGTAAGGCTTTCTCTCATCCCATACACCTTCCTCCTTGTACTGATACTCCGTCCCAGGGAGCTCGTTGTTTTGCAGAGGCATCAAGACCCCTGTAGAGCGCTTCTTCCTCCGTTCGATGGACAGGGCAGCTCTGATGTGGCTGTCCAGTTTGGGAACAACTAAAGCGGCGAAATTCCGGTGTCCCTGGAAGCTTGACACCACACTTTCTGGCTCAGAGATGGCAGCATCATTAGCGTACACCAAGATATAAGGCTCCAGGAAAGGTAACATCCTCTTTGGTAACCTGTGTGCTCTGGATGTTATGTTAAATCCTATGAGGAACTCATCATTTTCCTTGGCTTTCCTCAAAAGCTGAGTGATGTCTTTAGATAGCCAGGACACCACATCTCCATGAGGTCTGGCTACATCTACGGACAGATGACCCAGGAGCTGAATTTGGTTTGGGTTGGAACTGAGGCTCCATGCAGAGAGATCGATCTGAATGTGCTTCCCCTGCACATGATGAGAGCATCCTTGGGACATTGGACAAATCAGGCTGATGTTCACTAGTTCTCCGATATTGAAATACAGTGTGGCAGACAAAATGTTTTCAGACTTGGTTAGAGAAGTCATATTAAAAATATGTAGCCCCTGGCCTTCAAGGGTTCCTAGGAAGGAAACAAAAAGGAGTAAATGGAAGTAAACAGGACCCCTGCCGCATACACAGTAAAAAATTGGGTGAAAACAAATTGGGGCTCTACATAGAAGAGATAACATCATAAACACTTTAGAAGAAAATGTGGGGATATCTCCATGATCTTGGGTTTGCCAATGGATTCTTAGATATGACAACAAAAGTACAAGCAATAAAAGAAAAAAGACACATCAATAAATTAAACTTATAAATTTTTAATTAATCAAAATTAAAAACTACTACATCAAAGAACATTATGCAGAAAGTGAAAAGACAATCTAAAGAATGTCAGAAAATATTTGTTAATTGTGATCAGGGTAAGTCTAGTATCCAGAATATAGCACACGAATGACAGACAGAAAAATCACCAATAAAACATGGGCTAAGGGCTTGGTAGACACAGCTCCACAGAAGATGTACAAATGGCCACGGTGCACATGAAAGGATGATCAGAATCAGTCATGAGGGCAACCAGATGAAAATCACAGCGCTACACCACTGGATACACCCCAGTAATGGCATAACAATCCAAGCAAAAACCCCAAACACAAGAAGTTAGTAAGAGTGTGGAGAAACTGGAGCTCTCTCATGTTGCTGGTGGGAATGTGAAACGGTTCTGCTGCTTCGGCAAAAGTTTGATGGTTTCCCCCCAGGCACTTGCAAGTATTTGTTAACAGTAGCACTATTCACAGTAGCCAAGAGGTGGGAACAGCTCAAATGACTATCAATGGGTGAATAGAGAAGCGAATTGCAGGATATTTACAAAATAGCCTATTGTTATGGTGAAAATGAATTAATACTAATGCATGTTGCAGTGTGAATGCATTTTGAAAACAATATGCTAAACGAAAGACCCAGATATAAAGGGTCCACATCCTCTGACGGCATTTACATGAACAGTTAAATCCATAGAGACGGGTGCAGCTTGGTGGTTCCCTGGTGAAGGGGGCAAGGGCTCCCCCTGGTGGAGAAACTCCTTCATGGTTACGGAGTCTTTGGAATGGTGGCTGTATTTATGAACTAGATTTACTAATTGAACCACACCGTGAAGATATTAATTCCCACTGTTTTGTTTATTTAAAATAGTTCATTTCATGTTATATAAATTTCACCTCAAGTCTTAAAAGTACAAGAGAAAAAATGACTTAGCCCTTTGTTTTGAGGGTTCTTGGTAAGCTAAAAAGACAGGGGAGGGGGAGAGAGAAAAAACTAGGAATAATTTTAAAAGCAAAAAAAAAAATGATGAAGGCAAAATTCAACCATTTTTACTAATTTTTTTCATTTACTGAAGCACCATAATTTACGACATTTAGTTCAAAGTAGTAAACTTGGGTGGGCAAGGGTCGGGGTGACTCAGAAGCCTGGAGACTACAAAGATCTATTTTTATAAATCTGGCAAACTATTGTAAAAGCTCCTAATCCAAGGCATGTAGAATTAGACTCTCCTTGATCTAATCCTGGCTTAGCCACTTATAACTCGGTCATTATGGGCAAACTGATGTTCTCATTCATAAAATGGAGACTTTACCTCCTATGTCTTCAAAATCAAGTGAAATATGTGTAAAGCAGTTTGTACAGGATCTAGTATTTCTTAAATATAAACTGTTATTGTGATTAGTGTCAAAATTTTCTGTTGTGCAGCTCATCTGAGGTTTGACATTGCGTAAATTTAAAAGTTAAACAACTTCTAAGCCAGGCACGATGACAAATCTGTAATCCCAGCACTCTGAGAGGCTGAGGCAGGAAGATTACAAAGTCACAGGCAACTCTGCAATTTTAGTGAGACCCTGTCTCAGAAACTTAAAAAAGGTACAATTCTAGGGTACAATTCTGAGTATCAAAAATCATCCAGGTTGTTTAATTGTATTTACAGTTCTTCAAATCCAGAAATAAGAGACAATAAGAGAGAGGTATATTGATTAGTAAAGCACAAGTTGGCTCCTTCTGTTAAGATGATCTGTGGAGTTTCTGGTCAGGCTGAGGTCAGAACTCCATCTAAGATCGCTTGTCCTGGGGTGGAGCAGCAGAGTCAAAGCCCTCTTCCTCCATGCACTTGTTGTTTCCGAAATGTACACGCAATGGTGAAATTATGCTCTTGATCAGAAACATGTTTCAGTAAAAACAAAACATTTTCATAAAGATGCAGAAACTTAAAATGAGCTCACTTGGTCCCCAAGCACAGGAGAAGTGCAATGGGAAACATATTTTGTTCATTTTTAACATTGTGCAAAGCAAAAGGAGGAAACTGCCATTTGTGCACATTTGTATAAGCCATGACACCAGGGTAATATTTTACAGACCTTTATAACAAAGCCATGGCAGCAGGGTTGTTTCAGACTCTGCCCTTAATTCATCCCAGTCATCATAGCATATACTTTTACCCAAACTTCATGGGGCAGATGGAAGTTTAAAATGGAAGGAAGAAAAGTCACTCTGTTCTATGCATGTGGCATGGAATGGTCGCCACACAGAGACTGCCAGGGAATAAACAGACACCAAGGGATAGGGGCACCAGGGTCTCACCTGGTAACTAATCCTACCCCTTTCCTCCACATTGTGCTTCAAAATAATTGCCTCTTCAAACATGCTTCCCCACACCCTGCGGCCTGCTGTTAGCCTGCACCCCTGTGTCCCATGTTCAATGCATTCTGATAAAAAGTCTCAGAACTGGTCACCCTGTATTTCCCCATCGTTTTCATTCTGGTTGTCTTTAGCTGGAGGTCAAAGCCTTGCAATCCAGTCCTAGTACCACTGGGCCTCACAGGGGTCCTCAGACAAATAACCGAAACACTAGTGCTCCTCTGTAAAAATGAGCCCAGTAGTACCAGCTGCAGAGCTGTTGTGAGAACTCATGGAATGCATGCAAGTAAAGCTCATACTGCACACAGAAGACTCACCGAAGTTAGCTAACTAGGACTGGCCTGTCCAGTGTGATGGTGACCAGCCAGTATCATTCAAGTCCAGACACACTGAAGCAGAAAACACAAGCTAAATTTGGTACAAAAAATGTAAAGCCCGATGTTAATATATCTCATATTGAGTATGTGTAAACATGATTATATATTAATATTTGGGGTTTGATATATTATTAAAATTAATTCCATGAGTTGCTTTTCACATTTTAAATGTGGCTACTAACACTTTAAAATTATTTATGTGGCTCATATTTGTGGCTTACATGAAATCACCCTTGGATGCTGGTGGTCTCTAATAACAACTAGTATTACAATCATTGGGTCCAAAAGGAAAATTATATAAGGCACTTTTAATACAGTGAAACAACAAGATTTCCCTCAACATAAATATGCAAAACAAACAGTAATTTGGGCAAAAGATTCTCCTCTTGAAATGCAACATTCTTTCTTTACGACATATGTTTGATAAAGATAGTCCTGGTGATTACGTTTTCATTTTCCCCTCAGCAATGGCAGAGACTACAGCAAAAAAAAAAAAAAAAATTTCACTTTCACAAATACAAATGAGCATCCATTCACTAGGTGCTGGACCCTAGGCTAGGTCACAGGTGACAAGAATGCCCCTCCTATTCACACTTCCCTGGGGAAAAGGGATTTAGGAGCTGTGTACGCATAGTTTCTCTATGATGGTACAATTAGCTGTCAAAGGTGTTAACAATGTTGGAGTAGGAGAAGCAGCCAAGTTTTCCCAGGTAAGGAAAAGAGGGACATGCAAAGAAGTGACCTTTGAGGAGGGAGTAGAATGAACACATTACTAAATAATGCTAGGTATCTGGAAGCTTTTGCATAAGAATTATTGGCAGTGTTCTCAATAGAAATTATACGAACATTTCAAATTAAACCAGTTATTCAGAGTCCTAGTGAACAATTTACAATGGGAGCAGTCAGTTCATTTAGCTTCTAACCACCAATGTTAGGTCATGCTCAGCACTTGATGTCTTTGTGCTTGCCATTTACACCCAGGCTTGGGAACATCCTCACTCTGCCTGTCTGCTCTAGATCCCTGCTCTCCTGCGTTTCTTTTTCTTAAACTATAAGTTTGGAATGCCTGTCTTTCATAAAGAACTCTGTGACTTCACTAACACATACTGTGTTTTTATCTTCTCTGATCTTAGAGAAGTTATACAAGTTCTCCATAACTCCATGCTTTTTCCCCCAAAGCAAACTAACAAATATTTACTGGGCATTAAAATGGACAAAAACGGTACGAAGAGAGCTGCATGAGGGTGAGCAAGTGAGTACAGAGCAGCCATTAAGAATGAGACAAATGGGGGCTGGGGATTTAGCTCAGTGGTTTCACCACCTGTCTTGCAAGTGCAAGAACCCAAGTTCGATCCCCGGTACCCACACCCCACAAAAAAGAACGAGACAAATGCTTCCCTGAGTGTAAAACCATAATGATTCCCATTCAATAGCTTTTATGCCTTTTCATTTTGTAGATTTCATAGTAATTTAGCTTTTCAAGTGAGTATCTTCTGGTCCTTAATAAGCATTTCCCATTAGGCTTCCACCTCCCTTCTCCAGATTTACCTGTGGACACAGATATCCAAGTCTGAACAGCAGTGAAATGAAAAAATGCCTTAATTAATGTTCACTTCTACTCTCTTGTAGTCAGACACTGCCCTGTTTGCAATGATAAAGTCAGAACCTGAGGCATAATTTTTGATTTTTACAAATCAAATATAGTGGACCCTTGAGTTATGAATGCCCTGACGTATGAACACCTTGGGTTAACACTGGACTTTTAATTTTAACTTGCAACCAAGGTCTTGCATTACAACCCAAATGCTGGCCATTTGTGCTTCGAGGCACAGATTTAAAGAGTTCTGGAAGGAACAGTACAATGTCCTTTCCTGTGTGGGATTAACTGAGAAACCCTTGGCCGATGTCTCTCTCAGGACACTGAGATCTGCTTCTATACAGGAGAGAGACCTCGAAGGCTGTGTAGAGGAGTCTGAGCCTTCAATTGACCAGCATGAGTTACAATCAGCCCTTGGGA